GTACGATTGGCCTCTCTCTCTCTCTCTCTCTCTCTCTCTCTCTCGGCGCAATTTGCTCCGTGATTGGCAACCCCCTTCTGCTCCTGTGAATCTCTTGCGTCCACACTCTCTTCTTTTTGGTGGGAAAAAACAATGACGAATTTGTTTGTGTATTTGTTTATTTATTATTTATTCACGATGATTGAAAAAGGGGAAAAAATAATATAAGCACTACATTAGTTCTAAATTTGCACGCAATCAAATTAAGAAAAAATTATAATGTGATTTTAATATCCATTAACATGAAAATGGATATAAATATCTTCACATTAATTCGCCTGTCACCTTTTTTTTTATTTATATATATGTATAATTGGAATTTGTACAGCGGATAATTGGAATTTGTACGATGACCATGAATTTGTGGTGACTACTTTTCACGTAGCATATGGAAAGATGAATAATTGATATTTTTTTTTCCTAAGTGTAAATTCAACAAGGCCCTTGTTTTAACTTTTAGGATGTACGGGCACTAGTGTGACACAACTTACAAGAGCGACGATTCCTTATTGCCGTTCACTTCGCTGATTTGAGTTTAGAATTCGAGTTGAGATTTAATTTTATGTGAGAACTTTTTACTGTAATAAAAAAGTTAGATGTAATTATTTATGAGAGCTTTATACTGTAAAAAAACTTAAATTTTAAACTCGAATTAACGAAGTGAACGGCTCAAAATGCGTGGCATAAAATGAAAAGGAGTGAGTGGGCATTGTTAATGAGGCACGTAACCCATATTCCCGCATGAACCCCAAACCAAAGCTTCCGCAACAACTCTGTCTGGAGCAAACGCTCGAGATGCGCGCGTGAGCTACGTAGAGCGGCACACATGTCAGCGCATGCGTGTGTCGCCCTTGGACTCGTGAGGCATTTCATTCAACGACTGGGACCCACCAAATTTCGTTTTTGTGCGATTACCACAGGGGCCCCACTTCCCTTTGGGCCCCACACTTGTCGCCCTCAGTGTTGGCTGTACGATTGGCCTCTCTCTCTCTCTCTCTCTCTCTCTCTCTCTCGGCGCAATTTGCTCCGTGATTGGCAACCCCCTTCTGCTCCTGTGAATCTCTTGCTTCCACACTCTTCTTTTTGGTGGGAAAAAACAATGACGAATTTATTTGTGTATTTGTTTATTTATTATTTATTCACGATGATTGAAAAAGGGGAAAAAATAATATAAGCACTACATTAGTTCTAAATTTGCACGCAATCAAATTAAGAAAAAATTATAATGTGATTTTAATATCCATTAACATGAAAATGGATATAAATATCTTCACATTAATTCGCCTGTCACCTTTTTTTTTTATTTATATATATGTATAATTGGAATTTGTACAGCGGATAATTGGAATTTGTACGATGACCATGAATTTGTGGTGACTTCTTTTCACGTAGCATATGGAAAGATGAATAATTGATATTTTTTTTTCCTAAGTGTAAATTCAACAAGGCCCTTGTTTTAACTTTTAGGATGTACGGGCACTAGTGTGACACAACTTACAAGAGCGACGATTCAAAAGGGCTCCGTGTCTTGAGACCATTTAGTCCGGAAAAAGCTATTATCATGTTAAGTTGGATTGGGCTCCTCATGGTTATAAAAGGACAGACTAGTTTAGTACAATTTTGGTTTCCAATGAGTTTGCGCATATTTTTACTACATATGTATTTGTCTGGTTGTATGTGCGCATTGTTTGATGGCTCTTATTTATTTAAAGTAAAAATTCGTGTTATGATTTGTGACTCGTTATAGTATTTTTTTTCATAAAAAATATACGTAAATTGAAAATAATTCTAAATTCATAAATCAAACGTACTCTTATTTGTTAATTTATTTTATAACAGATCAACGCAATGAAATCATCTTAATTAACGTGGTAGTTTCATGGGACATTCTGGCACTAACTAATCACAATTTACTAGACGGTCATTGTTGGTTTGTGTATTCAAGCCACATGTGAATGAGTATGACAAAAAAAGTTGTGTGGCATTGCTTCAATTGGCTTCCTAGACCACAAGCTGCTTGACCTCGTAGAAGAGCATGGCTTTTCAGAAGGCTTGGGATGGAAGACACAAGGATCGTTCCGCCTATCTTTTGATTATGTTTTATTGTTGGCGGGAGAAGAGAAGTTTTGGTCTCATTCGTTTCGTTAGTTCGAATTACAATTTAAATTTCTATTATAATATTTTATCTCACAAAATTTTAAATTTAAATTTTCTTACTGCAATATTTTTTCTCACATAAATTCATTTTTTAACTCAAATGAAAACGAACAAGATCAAAATTTGTGGAAACCACATTTATAAAAGAACTTAATGATAAAAAAAATGATATTTTAAATAAAAATGTTAGAATGACTTTATTGCTAAGCCATTTCTTTTGTGGCTTTTAAGCTTTTAAAGATAGTTTAAATACTTTTGACTAATCATCTAAATACTTTAGAAATTAACTTTTAAACTTAAGAAATTAAAATTAGTTTTGAAAAAGCCATGCCAAACGTGCCTAAAATATAACTCATAAAATATTATTTTAAGAAGAATTGAGACTTTCTCTGATAGTCTTTGTTAAAATGGACTATCGATAATCTTATTTTTCAGCCTTCAGATTTGTATTAAAATTAATCTGTTTTGCATTTTTTTTAATATGATGTGATTTTGACCAGATTTAATGGTAAAAAATTGAGACTACCGGTGATGCGGGCTACTAGAGAAATTTATACCAAGTAATAAGACTTTATAAAGTTCATTCTAATAATTTTACTTTTATTAGAAAATCCAAGTACTTTTTTCTCCTATTATACTCTTTCGAAAATGTGGTTTCGTATGTTTATTGAAAAGTGAAAACTTTTGATTATATACTCTTTTATTAACTAAAAACTTAAACAGAAAATTGCCAAAAGCGCCCTGTCTTTCTTCGTCGGGCATTAGTGTTTGTGCATTACAGAAATACTAATTACATAGACGAATAAAGTGAGCTGAATGTACGAGTCATACATTACCTTTAAAGTCTAATAATTAGTACTTAGCAGTTTTTTTTTTTTTTTTTTTTTTTTTGAGAAAACACATAATATGTTTATCTTTGCCACGTAAGGGATAACTCTCGTGAACTATTATTAGTAGTCATCCAAACTTTGTTGTATTATCTTAGCAAACGAACAAAGTGGAGGACCACTGATTAATGGTTCTCTTTGCATCAAAGGAAAATTAAAAATTTTTAATTCAATTGGCTGCAGCTCAATCCACAACTTTTTAACTCTCTATTATATACGAATTCCAAAAGTGAAAAATGCAGCAACCAATGTCGCAACTTATTGAAAATGGTCAAATTTTAAGAATCCAAAATTCTACCAAAATACCCCGTAAGAACAGAAAAATAAAACTACTAGTAGTTTCACTTTTTCAGTCGTTTTCAATTGTTGATTTATATTAAAGCTGTCTTTTTTATATATTTTTTTAATCTTATTTAATTTTAACTAAATTTAACAGTTAGAAAATCTTACGGTAGAAGAACCCACAGAAAACAGCCCCAAACAAAGTATCAATAAACATAGGAAAACTTGCACCTCGGTTTTGACTTCTTTCACGTTAATACCATGGAGATCATTAATATATATATATATATATAATACGTATACATAAACGTTCCGTATATAAATTAACTAAGATTTTTAAAATAGGATGGGAAAAAACACCCTATTAAAAGAGTTATCAATAGAGTTTAGTTTGAAATGATTCTCTCTATTTTAGTTTGAAATAGGTTAAATAATGTCTTTTAGAATACTTTATTTGTGTAGCACATATTATGAAATTGTAAACAATTATTTATTTTAATGCGTTTAAATCTATGATTTTAATTCTGTTTTAGTATTTCTTTTCATTATGAAATTATAAACACTCATTTATTTTAATGCGTTTAAATCTATGATTTTAATTCTGTTTTAGTATTTTTTTTTTTAAAAATTTAAACTTCAAATGTTAAAATTAAGAATTATTGATTTAAACACATAAACTAAATATGTATAAATATTCATGATATGAATCTAGAAGGGAGTTTTAAGCATTAATATAAAAATTTATCCCTCTCTCTCATTTTTTTGGTTGGGGACTAATATGGACAAGAGATGGTTGAAAAAAAAAAAAGGAAAAAAAAAAGGCTCGAGAAAATTTAAACTTCAAATGTTAAAATTAAGAATCATTGATTTAAATACATAAACTAAATATGTATAAATATTCATGATATGAATCTAGAAGGGAGTTTTTTTAAGCATTAATATAAAAATTTATCCCTCTCTCTCATTTTTTTGGTTGGGGACTAATATGGACAAGAGATGGTTGAAAAAAAAAAAAGGCTCGAGATTGGGAGTGGAGTGGGCCTTTGTGGGCCAAAATTCTTTCAACCAATGGCAAAACGGGATATCTCTTAACAAACAGGACAACTACCTCATAGTACTAACACCTGAACTACTGACAGATTCTACTCCGCCACCTGGCAACTGTTTGGCCATTTCACTGCCGTGTGGGCGTAGCCCGCGTCACACCCAACCCTTTTCTCCACCAAAAGAGAGAGCCTATCCCAGGCCTGCGGTCCCCAATAAATCCAAAAAATCGTAAATTAAAATTCCAATTCCCGTTTTTACCCCTCCCTCGCCCCCACCGTATTCCCGCGCTTTAGAAAGCTAGATAATATAATAGGAAGAGAGGGAGAAAAAAAAAAGGTGCAAAAAACACAATAGAGGCCTGAAAATCAGATCAGACTAGATGACGACAATCACCATGATGATCATGATGATGCTCCCCTGCCCACTTCTCTGACTTGTAGGCCCACTCTCACCCCCTCCCCAGGCCTTACTTTAAGAATCTATCTGTCCTCCATTACCCGCAATCCAATGCCCTTGAGGGAAAAAAAAAAGAAGAAAGAAAAAACCTTCATGAAAAAATGGTAAAAAATTAAAAATTTTCTGTTGTCCTTTGTTGCCTTTAAAAATTTAAAAATATCTATCCGCTATATAAACGCTTTGGTGCTTAGTGAAACAACACTAGCCAAGATTTTCTCATTTTCACTAACTCAACCCCTTCTACTCTAAAATGCGTCAGGGCTGTGCCGGCCGGTATCTGGAGCCTCCGGCTCCGGTGCTCCTCAGACTCATCGCACTTACCCTGCTCCTCTCCATCTCGCCGGTCGTCTCCTGGCGTCCATGGCCCAACACCACTACTACCTCCGCCGCCCCCAACAGCTCCGATCTTCTCTTCGGAGGCTCCAAGAAGTTCGAGGGCTCCTCGGAGTTCGTACACATGAAGTACCACATGGGACCGGTCCTCACCGCCGACATCACCGTCCACACTATCTGGTACGGCGCGTGGCAGAAGAGCCAGAAGAAGATCATCCGCGAGTTCATCAACTCGATCTCCGCCGTCGGATCGAAATCCCCCTCCGTCGCCGGGTGGTGGAGGACCGTACAGCTGTACACGGACCAGACCGGGAGCAACATCTCCCGCACTGTCCGGCTCGGGTCGGAGAAGAATGACCGGTTCTACTCCCACGGAAAAACGCTGACAAGGCTAGACATACAGTCGGTGATCAAGAGCGCCGTGACGGCGAGATCCAAGCCGTTGCCGATAAATCCTCAGAGCGGTCTGTACCTCGTGTTCACGGCCGATGACGTGTACGTCCAGGATTTCTGCAGACAGGTCTGTGGGTTCCACTACTTCACATTCCCGTCGATCGTCGGATACACGCTTCCGTACGCGTGGGTGGGGAACTCGGCGAAGTTGTGTCCCGGGGTGTGCGCCTACCCCTTCGCTGTACCGGAATATATGCCCGGGCTGAAGCCGCTAAAGTCACCGAACGGTGACGTTGGAGTGGACGGAATGATAAGCGTGATTGGCCACGAGGTTGCTGAGCTGGCAACGAACCCGTTGGTGAACGCTTGGTACGCAGGGCAGGACCCGAGTTTCCCGGTGGAGATTGCTGATCTCTGCGAGGGGATTTACGGAACCGGAGGAGGTGGGTCCTACACGGGTCAGCTGATGGACGGCCACGATGGCGCCACGTACAACATGAACGGGATCAGGCGGAGGTTCTTGGTCCAGTGGGTCTGGAACCATCTCTTGAATTACTGCAGTGGCCCCAATGCACTTGATCAGCCAAAACTTTGAATTTCTTTTATTTATTTATTTTTCTCTCTTTCTTTTGCTTCTTGGTATTTTTGGGTTATATTTTTCTCGGTGGTTCTGAGTTCTGAACTCTGGTTTGCCTTTTTTTTTCCCCCTTTCTTCTTGTGAAGCTTGTTTGTTTATGCATAATTATAATTAGTTAAAAAGGTAGTTAAGTTTGTTAATTATTGTAATAACGATATGTCGTATACTACATATTTGTATACTGAGAATCTGAGATAGATGGTTTTCTTTTCTATTCCCGCCTTATTTAAAGTACTGAGTAGGTGCATTTTATTGAAGATTCTTTTAACTTGAGTAGGTATATTTTTTGTTTAAGCTTTAAAAGAGTACAGCAAATACACTTTAATCGACCTATTTATGAACCTTATGTATATATAATATTATAATATATGATAGATGGGTTGGAGAGTATCTTCTTCATTTCAATCTTTTATACTCTACTTAAGCCAATTCGGTGGGGCCCACCTAATTACACGCATCAAGAAATGGCAAAGCTCCAGCACTTCATTTCAGTTTGGTTTTTGTCACCCAGAAAACGTGCTCATATTTATGAAATAGCCTTTAATCCTCACCCGTAGGAGGCAATGACCACTGTTATCCAATATGCTTTTTTTATTTTTTGCTCATCATTATCCAATATGCTTAAGGACCCAATTAAGGTTGTCTTTTCCGCAAAATGAGAGTTAAGGTTGTTTAATAACATGTTTTAAGTTCAAACTTGTATTTGGTTCAATCATCATTTGTCGTATTTGGGTTAGATATAAGATTTCTGTTCATGGCTAGTTCACTATTTGATTTTTTTTTTTTTTTTTTTTTGGATTGTAGTGGTTTGAGGCTTTACGGCTTTACCGTCTGTGATTCGCTTCTTTTTTTTCTTGATGAATTTTGATTAGCTTTTTGGTATTCAAATTTTGGTGTCATAATGATTAATTTGGGCTTATTTTAAAGGGCAAGAAGCTATAAAAACACAAGTGTCACTTTCAGACAACTAGTCTACTAATCTAACAACTCTTGGCAGTACCTTTAGTAAATCAGAAGGACCCACTTTTTTCCTTTGTCTCCCCTCACATTTTCTTTGGTAACTTTTTTGGGATTTGCGCCGTGAGGGTTATGAAGTACTTTCTCTTTTTTTTTTTTTTAAAAAAAAATCAATATTTTCAACTCTTTTTTTTTTCTTAACTTAATTTTTTTTTCTAAGGTTTTTTTAACTTAGAAGACGTTTAGTTTGAGGATTTAAATCATGTGATTTAAATTATTTTTAATTTATATAAATTTTTTATGAGAAAAAATATAAATTATAATTCAAATCAGAGAACGAATCTCTCTACTAAACGTCCTTTAATTTGAATATATACTTTCCTTTCTTTTCCGGTGTGGACCAGTGACCAGTGCACTTTCTCGAAAGTGGCACATTTTGTTCTGTAGTTAAGCACTTAAATGAAGACAAGGGGCACCAAAACCTAGTTGTTGCGTACTAACCCAGCCAAAAGACAAGAGAGAGGCGCTTAATTGCTCTATGTTTCAACAATCCTCAGTCCTTGCATATCATATAATTCTTTTTCCCTTATTATTATTATTTTTTACTGAATACATATCATATAGTCCGTTTGGTTAAAAGATTCATTTTTTGAGTCGAATCATGTTTTATGGTTCGCTATAATATTTTTTTTCACAAAAAATACACGTAAATCAAAAATAATTTTAATATCATAATTTTAATCCATAAACTAAACAAACTCATAGTATAATTCAATGGGAGTGATTATTTATGCATATTACATCGAAAACTTATTTCCCTAAAGCGTACGCAACAAAATGCTTCTTTCATAAAAAAAAAAAAAAAACTTCCCAAGGAAAAAAATATAAAACCCGCAAAAAAAAAAAAAAAAAGGAAAAAAACAAAATGATACAATTATAGAGAGTGGTTTTACTGAACATACTTGTTTATTATCTTTTTTTTCTATCAATTGATGTGATATTTCTTGACCGTATGGTTTTCTTTTTTAGCTGTGAACATACTGTAGTTTGATATTACATGTCACACAATTCCCTATTACTTGATTTTTTTTTTAAAAGAGCTTTTTTGCATTAGGTATTCTATCAACAATGAACGTGTATAAACTTTACGGTTGATTAAAATGATATCAAACTAAAAAAATATTCAAAATTGATAAAATTTTAATACAATACTGAAGATCGATTAAAAATATTTTTTAATACCCTATAAAACAATTATCATTAAAAAAAAAACTAAAAGTATAATACCACTCTTAAATCTTAATAAATACTTACCACTTTAACTAAATGTAGACCGGTTGATTTTTGAGCCGCTTGATACTATACTGAGTTCATATATATATTGCCCCATTTTCCTGCTTAATGGGTTGTCTCCTTAATATTATTTGGAAATTCATGTAACTGCTCAAGTAGTTTTAATATTTTAATATTTATCATACGATCAAATTCTTGATTTTGAATGGTATAACAAAATAGTATTGAAGGAAGAACAGTGAAAAAGAAAATCTAGAACAACATATTTGGACTCTACCAAGGAGAAAAAGACAATCCATTCTACATCCAAATACAATCAATGTTTTGGGTTTCAAGCTCACTTGTCAATCTCATGTAGGAGAGAACCAGCTGGCTTTCACTTTCCATTAGCATCAACATGCAAATTATTGCATTATTGTATTATTCTTCCATTAACACAGATAAAGATATATATGCTTGACCTTGAGTAGAACTTTTTAGAAGAATAAATTACGGGCCCTTAGGGTAGGTAGAATCCCTCAAAGACTTGAGAATTTGACTAAAAAAAAAAAACATTAAAACACTGGCTTTATTTAATCAAACTATTTTAAAATAGTTTTGGAGTTTCCATTAGTCATCGACCGAAAAAGGGGCAGCGGCGCCTGAGGCCTATAATATAAACTAGTGTCCTAGAATCACTCATTCGTCTTAAATAATAATGTTTACTTTGTATGATTCGTTTTACTTTAATCTATTGTCATTATTAGATATCTAAGATAATCATAGAATTAATAATAGCCCATTAGGCCATTAGTTTTCATGGGGTCATTAAGAGACGTTTAGTTCATGGATTAGAATCATAAGATTAGAATTATTTTTGATTTACGTGTATTTTTTATGAGAGAAAATATTATAACAAATCACGAACCATAATTTGAATCGGGGTTCGAATCTCCTAACCAAACAATCCTTTATTTTTGGACAACTTCTGAACTTCCCATCGATTAACTTGCAATATATGAGCGTACTTTGCACAAATTTGTCCAAATGTGCTGGGAAGTTGGAAGAATCAGAGTTGGATAGATTAGGGATTTATTTCAAAATGTGTTAAATTGGACACTACAAAGAAGAAGTTGTTCAATTCAGCAACCAAAATTGAACCCCCACGGTTTGGTTTCGTTTGGTAGCTAGGCAAAGGCCATGCATTTAACTTTGTGTATGGTTTTGTTAAAATCACCTCTCCTCTTAAATTTAAATGGTTTAAACTTTTGAATCTGATTCTAATTTTAAAATTATAATTTAAACTTATTTAAACCATAAATCATAATTCTAATTTTAAAATTAAAACTATCTTAAATTTAAATTTTCATATTAAATGCAACCTAATTTCTTCAGCCGAAGAATATGAAATTCCCAGTGTGTGAAAGCTTGAAAATTTTCAGAGTTGCCCCATCGAGTACACTGGCTCCCATTTTCACGTCTGTAATTTACAGATTCTGAATTATCACGAGGTGGAAAAAGCAGGGAAAAGATAAAGAAAAGTTGAAAAAAAAAGAAAGAAAAAGGTATTTTAAGAGAGAGTTGGTGCAAATTGATTAGTATTAAAAGAAAGAAGGGGGGAAAAAAAAAACACAGAGGCAATAATTAAAGGAGGGGACCTCAATCTCAATATCATCTATTCTCATACAACTTTGATGAAGTGACACTCAACGATTGTGAAACCAAAACCAACCGCATTGCAGCTAATCAAATGATTAGGTGGTCCTTTTGAAAAATGACCCTAAGGATCCACTTGAGTGGCACCTACAATTGTGATCCTCGTACGTATATATATTCTGACACGACACGATAATACGACTCAAAAATAATATGTATTTCATAAATTATGATTAAGAAAAAAATTTTAAATCAAAATTAGGTCAACTTCTAATTAACACAAAAAATACAGGTAAATTTTAATTGAACTCGCAGAAACCGAACACGACACAAAACTCATAAAAAATAAAAAAATACATATTTTTCATTATATATTTTAAATTTTATTATGAACTTGTGATATTATGATAATTATACTCAAAAATTTAATATTATTATTTGTTTAATTTTGATAGATGTTATTATATTTTAGCGTGTTATGAATTTTAAGTTATATCTAATATGTAAAAAATTAAAGAAAAGTGTATAATTTTCATGTTAACGGGTCAATTTCGTGTCGTGTTTGTGTTGCAGTTTTAAAAAATTTCGTATCACGAGTCATGTTCGGGTTGATTGTAAATTTAAAAAGAAACGATTAAAACACGACTGCCATTATTTATATATATATAATCAAGGTTTTTGAAGCATTCCTATTCTGGTATCAATATTTTGTAGGGTCTTTGTCCCATATCTACCTATTCAAATGCCTATATTGACTGCACAATAACTATAATAACCAGCAAATGCTTACTACAGTACCTCGCAATTTCATCCACCGAAGTTTACTGTACCAATTTATAATTATTTGGTGTGTAAAAGAGAATTCAAAAACTTTGCAGAAAACAACTGTTTGGTGTTCAAACATACCTAAGCTCCTTTTTCCAACTATTTGGAGTACAGTACATTATGTTTGATTGACTATCGAGCTTGATCCGAAGGGCATAAATGTCAATTCATGAACACTATTATGTACTCAAATTCACATTGTCAAAGACTCTTAAGTCCTAACTATCCAACTAGATTTTGTGGAATTTCTTGTCCTTGAAATGGTTATGAAGTCATGACTTGAATCGGTTCATACTAATGCCGTCTTACAATTATGGCATGTACTAGATATAGTCAATCTTACTTGGAAAAGATTGCTTTACAATAATTGCATTTACTAGATATCATAAATCTTACCTGGAAAAGATTTATGCACACCCACATCAAGAGAAGAAAAATGTATATCTCAAAAATTATGTACTAAATTTGTCAAAACAAGTGTAGGCCCTCATCAGATTGATAAAACCATGAGCAACAATAGAGCCATTAACACAAATAAATTCAGTCCTAATAAAGATGCTTCATTATATTTAGCTTTTGAGCTGGACTCTACAGATCTTTTAGCTCATTTGCTAAAGTTAGTTGCAATCAAGAAACTCAATGAAAATTCTTTCTTATAACATCTTCATAAAGATGATGGCAATAACTGTTCTTAATTGGGTCAGTGAGTAAACAGATACACAAAAGAAGACAGATCACTGAAAACTCTGGACATAGAGAGTAATGGGCGATTTGAATAGAATGAGTAAAGCGTACTTAGCAGGAGAAGGGCATTTGAAATTTTAGAGGGTAGAAAAATTTCACTAGTTTGAAACAAACAAAGATCACACAGCTGGATCGTCTCTTTGTGGAAGGATAAATGGGAATGAGAAAGGATAACTAGGGTGAAAAGGAAAGGAGAGAGAAAATGAAAGAAACAGAAATGACAAGGGAAATGAAATCGGGACAAGTTAATAGAAAAAAAAACTAATTGAAGATGAGGAAAGCCTGATGAGATGCTCAAAACTTTTGCGACAAAGACCATTGACTGTACCTGGTAAGGTATATAAAGCGTAAAAGGCAACTAGCAAAGTAGGCAAAGATGGACCCGACTCATGAGAGTGAAAAAAAAAAAAAGAAAAAAAAATTTCATGATTCATGTCCCATGTAAACTATAAGGCCCTGAATGGAGCAGAAAGACCAAAAACAAAAACAAAAAAAAATATCATGTACCTAAAATCTGGTGCAAATATCAAGTTTTGCAAATTTGAATTGATAGCCTAAGCTGTGATCACGGGGAAGCATTTTTTACATTTCACATTGACGAAGTTCATTGTCAAAAAACCCAGCATCAAGTTAGTTGATGAATCCATAGAAAACAACTAAATTAAGCAGTAATTGCAGAAAGACCAATGAAGTCTTGGAATTCATTCCCTTGTTGCAAAAGCTCTGGAATTTTCTTACTCATTTTTATGTATGGCGTGAAAAGGACAAGTACAGTATAACCTAGGAGTAATATAGCTCGCTCATTATTGTAACAGATTATTATCTCCTTATACCTGAAAGTCATACTCCAATTAAATCTCACTTTTGATCTTTAAGTTTCTCATTCTGCAGGTACTTCAACACTCCATATGTGACTGTTCCAGCGACAAACAAGACTACTGTTGGGGTAAAAGATGGATACAAATACTTAACAAAGAATTTGTCCCACTCCTCTGGAAGGAAACCTGCACAGGCAATTCGTTAATCCATTAGAAAGTGAAAGAAACACAATGAACATTTCCAAACGAAATGAAACTATTTGCATTTTCTTTTAGGGTTAAACTCGTTTTTTGTCCTTTAACTATAGGCCTAATTCCAATTTGATATCTGATATTTTAAAATGTCCCAAAACACGTCTTCGATCTAGCAAAATTGTCCCAAATTAGTAATGTTAAATTCGCAAAGGAAAAAGGTACCGCTTCCTTCTTAACAATCATGCCCTAACAAGTAAAATTACAAAATTAAGTCTCACTGAACAACACAAGGTCCTCACGTGTCATTTTTGTCAAGATTTTGACAATCAGATGGACAGAAGAGTTCATTGAAGAGACAATTTGATAGATTGAGAACGTGATGTTTTAAAGTGAGGCACTAGAATTGGGTGGGAGGGGACTATGGTTCAGGACTAAAAATGAGATTAATCCTTTCTTGTAATTGCACTGATTTTTCACTGCACATATAATACAGGGTAGGAGACTGCTTTTGTCATAGCCCCTTCAGGGGAAAGAGCAATAGTTTGCTTTTAATCATATCACCTATTTATAGCTAATCTTGGTTATAGTTTGAGAAGACCGACGGCAACTTTCCACAGACTAAGTTTAAAAGCCACCTCAAATTAAGGGTCTTTGAGTATTGGAGGCAAGTTGGGAGAGGAAAGAAAAAAAGCTTCGTTATTTTGAAGCTGTTCCACTTTGCCTCAATAGGCATATATTTAGTAAGGGTAGTAGTTAACATTGAAAGTCTATCAGCTTCCCTAGAACGAATTGAAAAGAGTAATTATGAGCTCAATACTTTGATCTTCTATCCTTTATGAGTAACTTTTATCTTTTCCCTTGCGTTGTTTAGATATCGGACACAAGATTGATATTCTAGGATTTCTAGCAAACTGCAAGTGTTCTTTAGTTGCAACTTATTTGTTTTTTGGGCTTCTATCATTAACCAATTTGAAAGTCTATGTTCTAAGGAAGACGAAAAACATTTAAGAAGTTAAAATCTTTACACATGTACTCTCAGAGTTTCAAAATGATATTTTCGTTCATTTCACCGATTTGAATTTTCAGTTATAAAGTTTTACAGTTAAAAGCTCTAAGAAAATATCACATCTAACTTTTTTCTGTTACAATTAAAAGCTCTAAAAAAATATCACATCTCAGTTCGAATTGAACACTCAAATCCACGAAGCATTGAGGCGTTTCAAAAAAGTAGCCCCATTTGCCTTTTGATATCTCTAAACGTACTTCCACCAACATCTTTGACATTACACAACTACTACTCATATAAGTATAGTACAAAGTCATTATTCCAAACTTGACTGGCACAACCTTAAAAGAGCAGAAGAGGATGTAACAGGCAAGCACCCAAATAGCAGGCAAGGCTTTTTATTTACATTGATTACGAAGTAAAAAACTCCATTTCCAATATGTATAGAAAATTGGTCTCTTTCTAAGTTTCATTTATATCACGCAGATTGGTTAATTCTTGTAAGTAACTGATTATATACCAAAATCCACTAGCTAAATACCCAATAACTATCCATAAACACAATAAATTGACTAACACCAGTAAAATCACAAATCTTCCACATTGAAGTCCAGGAGAGCTCAAGAGAATCAGAAAGTACCGGAAGCGGCGAGAACAATGCCTTCCACGAGAATGATTCCGCCGAGCCCTAACCAAGCGAGGAGAAAAGCACTCTCATTTCTTCCCCTTTCCTTGACCTTCTCATCGTCCTCCGCCGTCGGCGCCGAAGCAAATGACGGCTTTTCCACCGGCGACCGGCGAATTATTGAAGCCCTCTCTCTTTTGCCCTTGCGCTTCTTCTTGCTACTCGCACTCTCATTGGCCGGAGACGGAGACGGAGACGAAGCAGAAGAGCCGAAGCCCAGCCCGGTAGTGCTGCTGCTGGGCTTGTCATTGGGCCGAGCCGGGGCAACGGAGTCGGTGGGATTGACGGTGGATTTGGGTGGCTCCGATGAGGTCTGGGATTTGACTGTGAAGTGGAAGACAGGAGTGTGGGGAAGACGATAGGGTTTGGCGGTGAAAGAGGGGGGACAGTTGATGTGTAGCGCCATTTTCAGTTTTGATGGTTAAAGTGGATTTTTCTTTATTTAATATTTAGTATTCATGTGGATTTTCTATCTTTGCGATAATGGCATTTGTCTCCCCCATTATTTTCTATTTTATCACTTATGCCCATATCATATAACCTGTGACTGTAAATAATCACGCTTGTCCTTTTCCAATGATAATAATCAAAGTTTTTAAGGTTTCATTCATTTCACTCATTTAAATTTTTAATTTTAATTTTATTATAATTAAAAATTTTAAAAAAAATTATATATAGTTTTTTCTGTTATAATAAAAAATTTTCACATAAAATCACATATAAATTCAAAAGTGAAGTTTCATAAACGCCACATTCTTGAGGACCTTTTAAAAAAAAAATTTGTGAGGTTTGTGATAGGGTTTTGTCTTTTGAATCTATTTTGTGAAAGCAATTAGTCGACGTATATTTTCACTGGAAAAAATATTAGTCAATAATATTGTAATCTAAGATAAGAATTGAAAACTGCATGAAAAAAAAAGTATAATTAATAGCGGATATAATTAATAGTGGATCTGTTAGTTTAGTTAGTTACACCCATCGATTCAACAACATATTCCATTTTATTTCCGGTTAAGCTTTATTTTGCCGAGTTGATTTGTTTCTATTCCTCGTTTTATTAGTGGTTATGTAATGATTGATATTGCAGCTATTTGATAAAGGTCATTTTACCATAAAAAATGGAAATACAAATTGAAAAATTATTAACCGGAACAAATAACTAACAAAGTGCTCTTTCAAAATTTGAGAAATGTGCGGGTATTATTGTATAATAGCAGAGTCTTACGGGTCTTAAAAAGTAAGAAGACAGTCCAAGCCTCCAAGGAAGTCCAAGGAGAGCAAAGTTCCTTCTGCTCCACAAGAATCTCCGACTCAGTAAAGTCCGCCAAAAATTTTCTCCGCCACAAAAAAAAAATCTCGGAATCAACTTTCTACGATGTCAACCAAGATTTTCTTCAACGATTAGATACAAAATTTGCACTCTTTTAGCTTCGTTAATGGACATTCGCAGTTGCTCCTCTCTGCTTCCTCTTTCCCATGGCGGCGCTCTTCACTTCCCCCCGTTTTCCCTCACTCTCCTCCGCGCCAAACACTCTCCGATTTTCACCGTCGCTGCGCCGATTTTCCGTGGTACTCAGAGCTCAAATGGCCGCGGCCGGGAACAAGATACAGAAAGAGGAAAGAGGCGTCGCCGTCGTCTGGTTCAAGCACGATCTCCGAATCGATGATCACCCAGGCCTCGTCGCCGCTTCCAAACATCCCGATATCATTCCTCTCTACGTCTTCGACGACCGCATTCTTCGCAGTAATCTCTCTCTCCCTTATGATTTTCGAAGTTTTGTTTTTTTTTATTATTTTGATTTTTGCGTAATTACTGTTTGCCGGAAAATTGATTTTCAGGATTTTCCGATGAAATGTTGGAAAGGGTTCTTTTGGCCTTGGAAGATTTGCGAAGTTTGTTGAGAAGTCAAGGCTCTAATCTGATGGTTAGGTTCGGAACCGCCGAAAATGTGATACAGAGACTTGTCAAAGAGGTAGTTTTTATTACATAGTTGGCTCCTTTTACTTTCTCTTGAAAATTCAAGGCATTACTCAATTTCGTTTCGTAAATATATATAGCTGAAGAATGAAATTTGAAACAGGTAAATGCCACGCATGTTTATGTAGAGGAGGAGGTCGAGTACGACCTGCGAAAGCTGATGGTTGTAGCCAAAGAGACCTTGGAGAGACTGTCGTTTACAAAGGACGGACCAACGTTTGTTCTTTGGAAGTCGCCATTTTATGATGTGGAGGTATTTGTGAATTGTGATTTTGTTACTATTGCTTTCCTAGTTGTTCCCGTGTTTGGTTGGTTGTGTTCTAGTTTGTTTGATGGAGTGTTCTTCCTTGGTCATGCTTTGTAGAGCTTAATTGATGTTCCTGCTTCATATGAAGAATTCAATAAACTTCAATTCCCAGTTACCTCGCCACTTTCACCATCAGAATTACCTGGTGCAAGCATGGAGTTAGATTGGGGTGAGTTCTAATTCCATTCACATAACTGCTTATGATTTGAATTTGAATTCTCCATTTTTGGGGAATTGTGCTGGGTAACCTTTTTTAACCACCTCTTTTTATAAATGACCGAACTTTTTTTTATTTTACGAAAATAGCCGTTTTGTTTACATGAGTCAATTATTAATTTATCAATGGTTTATCATTAATAAACATGTAATTTGTTGATTGAAATTGATTAATTATTAATTTATTTTGATTAATTATTAACTAATGTTATTAATAATAAAGAATAATCGAGTTAATCAGTAATAAACTAGAGTCAATCATGATTGACTGCTAAGTAAATCAGTGATTGACCGCTGCGTCAATCAATAATTGACCACTAAGTTATGAAAACGGCTATTTTTACATTTTTATAAAATTTCAGCAATTTATGAAAAACATCCTTCAAAAAAGGCCATTTATGCTGAAATCCCTTAAAAGTTCTAGTATGAGAATGTGGTTTGGGTTATTGAGGGTGACGAGTTTGCTATGGATTAGGTCCTATCCCCAATTTTGATGATTTGACGGAATTTATGGACACAAACTCGTGGAAACTGAAAAGCAGTTGGACCAATATCAAGGAGAAGTCAGCTGAAACTATATTGATGAAGGAGTTCTTAAAGCCTGGGGAGCACAACCTAAATAAATCGATCAGTTTTCAAAATGCACAAAGTTTTCAGAAGAAAAGAGAAGTTAATTCTGTTTTTGTCACACGGAAAATAAGTGCAGTGGGAGGTGGGACAACCACCGTGTTGAATGCCTTGGCTGCATACTTGAGATATTTGGAGGGAACAGCTCGAGATGACTGGAAGGAGTAAGTGGCAATTGTTTTTTGCTTTGTGTGTGTCTTCAGGATGTGTAAACATGTTTTCTGATGATCTTGCTTAGTTGAAAATCAGTTGATGATAGTGGCATTATATATCAAGATTTCGAGTTGAAATTGGCAGACATATAATTGCCTTTTTCAAATTCAATTTTTAGATTGAACAAGGTCTCTGGCCTACTACTGCTACAGGATTCATGAAAGGGTGTCCGATTCTGAAGCCCGGGAAGGAGCCTCATTCACTAAACTCTTTGGTCCTGCCCTTTCACTTGGCATTGTATCCAGAAGGAGAGTGCATTGTGAAGCTATCAAGTATGAGAAAGAACGAAATGCAGGATTACTCTCTCCATTTGGATGTTCGACAGTTTCTGTTGCGGCTGCAGTTGATGCAGTTTGCTCAATGGAGGTACTAGATTTTTACAGCTAAATTTTCTGTTGATAGAAAACTGGTTGGTTAGCTTAGATTCTGATGGTTTTTTGGTGAATATGGATATTTATTTTGACAATTAGGTACTATTTTCCATGAAAAAAATTATTTGAATATGATTATTTTGGGCAGTGGTACTGGCTCGTGTCTCTTAAAAGTCAAGTAAGTGATAATACAAGTTATCATGTTCGGATTTGGAGATGGAACAATCATCTGATCCAGGTGAGCTTTTTGAAAGTAAATAACACTTTGGATGAACTCTATTTCTTACATCGCTCCTTTGGTTTTTTTTTTTTTAATTCTTTTTTGATAAGCGCTCCTTTGGATTGTTACTTCAATTATATTCGATTTTGTTGATCTTCATTTTCCCTGTGATGTGAGTTACCTACATTAGTTTGTAGGCTGGCTTAAAATGAACCTTATTTTCGTCAGTATACAGTTTCCGGGAGTGAGGGTCCTCCTATTCTCCTTGTTCATGGTTTTGGTGCCTTCATGGAGCATTACCGTGATAATATATGTGAATTAGCTAGAGGGGGAAATCGAGTTTGGGCCATCACATTGTTAGGATTTGGAAAATCAGAAAAGCCAAATATTGTATACACTGAGCTCATGTGGGCAGAATTGCTTAGAGATTTCATTGTTGATGTTGTGGGTGAACCTGTGCATCTCGTCGGGAACTCAATTGGCGGTACGATATTAACCTATATTCATAACTTGGCTATACTATCCTGTATCACTTCCCCCTCTGCATCTTTCTCTCGTAAGCATGTAAGCAACATATATGCTTCATTGGTTGGTTAATGCCTCTAATTGTAACTAGTTTCTTGTCCGCAGGTTATTTTGTTGCCATTCTTGCTTGTTTTTGGCCTGCCTTGGCAAAATCTGTTGTCCTTATTAACAGTGCTGGCAATACTGTTCCAGGATATTCCTTCGTGACATCCAGTAAAGTAAGTCCGCAAAACTGTGCAACATGCACATCTGGAGTATTTAGAGAACATTAATCTGATTACTGAAAACTGTTTCAGGAGAGACAAACTTCAGGAGCTACATGGGTTGGCGCTCGACTCCTTTTGTTCTACTTAAGGTCGAGACTGAAAAACGTAGTGAAGAATTGCTACCCAACTGTGAGTCTCTCTATTACTCTCGCATTTTCCATGTCTGCTCTAAGATCTTTTTCTGGTCTTTCATTTTACGATGCTTCTGCTCTGCAGAAAACTGATAGAGTTGATGATGAGCTTATTAATGAAATGTTGAGAGCAGTATCCTTTTTCCACTCTTCTATACTTTTACATTATATCATTTATAGCTATATATTTGAGGCTTGATAAAACGTGATTAATTGGTCGAGAGAAATCATCTTAACGTAAACAACAGTCGTATGATCCCGGAGTTCTATTTGTCCTGGAAAGTATTTTTAGCTTTAATCTCTCTCTTCCTCTCAATTATCTCCTGAGAAATTTCGAAGGCAAGGTTCTGGTAATCCAGGTAAAGACCTAAATAGGACCTTGTGGTTTGACCATTTAATCAAACCATGATATCGTAGATTTTGTACTAAGCAATCTCTTATTACTAGGGATTGAAGGACCCAATATCCGACTCCAAATCAAAATTAGCTATGCTTAAAGAGCATTGTGATGGGGTAGTAATCAAGGAATTGGATGCTGGTAAGCAAAATTCTCAAGTTGTTTTCAATTCTCCTTTCTAAAGCTATGTTCTGTTATATGTGATGCTTTTGGAATTCTAGGCCATTGTCCCCACGATGAACTGCCGGAGGAGGTGAACTCTATTATCTGTGAATGGATAGTAACGCGAGAAAGTAAAATCCAAGTTGGGAGTGGTCCTTTATAGCGGAACTTTTTGGAGGCAGAAGTTCTTTTAGATATACATTCTTTCTATGCTCATGTCATTTAATGTTGAAAGTACTTTGTAAATTTATTTTAGATGAATTTGTAAAATTATTTACTAGATGTTCGGTTTTATTTTGTTAGGCCTCCTATTACGTTGGTCTATGTTAGGAAGAGGGGCAGGAAGGGAAAATCGTAGGAAATATGGGAGGGAAGTGGAATTATGGAAAAGGGTGGTTGATGTGCAAGTTAGTTACAAGTTGTTAGCTAAGAGGTATTTAGACAGGAGGGTGGGATGTGAGGGAGTCTGTCTGGGAATTGAGTCATTTTTATGTTTCAGACCATTGGAGGCAGGGGCCTCAAATTCCCCATAGCTATCGTTTCTTGTTCGTTTTCATTTCTTCTTGTAATTCTCTGAAAGAGGAATCCCCTCCCTTGGAGGCTTGTTAGTCAAGATTAATAAAAGGAAACTTGATCCATTTCTAGAATTATTGCTCCGTGAACTTTCGATCGAACTTCTGACTTGCAGGAACTTAACAATTTGGTATCAGAGCAGTCGATCCATGGCAGGCGCTTCCGGCGAACAGCTTCCGGCCGAGGAGTTGTCTCGGCTCGAGCAAAGGATGGATACGTTCCACGAGGCATTGCAGATTGTGGAGGCTATGATAGAGCCACTCCTTAAACTCCAGGAGGATGTGGTCGAGATTGGAGTCCAGATGGGGGAAGTTCAAGGATCAGTGCAGCGGTTGGAGAATTTACTACTCCGGCAGGCAGAGCTCCTCCAGCGACACCCTCAACTACCACCACGGTTCGACGTTGGTCCTCAGCGTTTTCCTGACCCTCGCCGCCGCCACCTCCCCGACACGAGGAGCCCCGGCGATACGATCGGGATTACCGCCAAGAGTCACCGCCGCGACTGAGGATGCGAGCAGAGCACCGGGGAAGAAGGCTCGAAATGCCCTTGTTCCATGGAGAAGACCCCCAGGGGTGGGTGTTTAGAGCCGATCGGTATTTCACCGTGAATGATGTGGATGAGGAAGATAAGGTGGTGGTAGCTTCGGTATGTATGGAGGGCAGAGCCCTTGGTTGGTTCCAGTGGGTTAACGCGTAAGACCCGTTCCGATCTTGGCGTGAACTCCGTGCGACGGTGATGCGGCGGTTTGGGCGTGCCAGGGAGGTCGATCCGGTGGAGCAGCTAATGGCTCTCAAGTAGCGCTCGTCGGTAGCAGATTACAGGGATGAATTTGAGTCCACGACAACTCAGATGCAAGGGGTGCCTGAAACCGTTTTCAAGGGGGCCTTCCTTCATGGGCTCAGGGAAGATATCCGGGCCGAATTGAAGATGCATCGGCCCAATGGACTGCATGAGGTGATGGACCTTGCCCAACTAGTGGAAGCCCGTAATGAGGCTGTTGATAGAGTTAGGAGGAATAAGTTGGGCCGTGGGCCCGTATCAGAACCCTGGGGGCGCTTTGGAGGAGTTTGTGAAAGCCCCCACTCAAGCTCCTTACTTCATGAGAGCTCCCTTTGTTCCAAACAAAACCAGGGGGCGGCGTTAGGGTAAGGCACCAAATCGGGAAGAGGCCTTAGACAGTCGTTTCCGTCCAGCGAAGCAGGGGCGTATCGGCGGCTCACTGAGGAAGAGATACAGCAACGGCGGACTCGGGGACTCTGCTTCAAGTGCGACAAAAAATTCAGTCCGGGACATCGTTGCAAGAATCGGCAACTTTAGGTGCTCATTCTAGCAGACGAAGGAGACGAGACAGGGAGGACAGTAAAGAGGACCCGGAGCCGATGGCGGCGGAGGACAAAGAGAAGGAGGCCTTGAAAGGAAAGATGGACTTGTCCTTGAACTCGATGCGGGGGGTATCCTCTTCCAACACCATGAAACTCTAGGATCGTATTGGAGGCCGGGAAGTTGTGGTGTTGGTGGACAGCGGCGCCACCCATAGCTTTGCTGATTCCCGAATCGAATTCGGGTGCGGAAGCATGGGGAAAGACGGATCGTGTATAACAAAAATTTTCATAAAACTTTTGAGATACTCTATATATTATATTAATTTATGCACGAATAAATTAATCGCATTAATTTACATCAAGAATTCAATCCGAAAAAATACCTGGAAGCCGACTCGGATGATAACTTGAATTCTTTGACCACGAACAGTCCTTATTGTTGGGAATAGTGTTCTAGAAACATGAGATGTAATAGGATATTTATTATTTATTTAATAAAAGAATTTATTCATTATTTATGTACATATATTTATAAATATTTTATGAATATCAATGAAAATTTCATGATTATTTATATAACCTTAAACATTGTATATAAGTGTTATATACGAGAGGATAATGTTTAAGGATAATAATCAAAAAGCAATGTTCATAATGAATTTAATTAAAGTTCGAAATCTTTAATTAAAACATTATTAATACATGTCATTC